ATCGAGATAGAATCAGACAAACAACAAGAGAGGGGCATGAGAACAACAATGACTAATAAGGGAGTACTGATGATATTACCTGCATAGGGTTAAAGAGGAGAATGACAAGAAGAGGCAGCAGGTCTGATGATACGATGAGCACAGAGACAATGATGGAGGCATAAGAGCCTCAAATGACGATGAGAAGGGCGATGCGATGGAGGCGCGTTCGTGATAGGGAAAAGAAATGAGGATTCAGAATAACAGACGACTAGGGAAGGAAGGATTTCAAAGCGTAAAAAGCAAGACTTAGGGTTCTGATGGGTTTGCTAAAATTAAAGATCCGGACGAATTATAAAACGGTGACAAGGTACACACCAGAGTACCAACGCTAACACACTCGACAATGTGGCGTTTTCTAATTTTTTGGGTTTCTAATCGAAGCAGGGAGGTCGATAGATGTTTTCAAACTGAAATCGGAGATTAGAGAGCCGAAGAGGAGAGAATCACAGAAGCATGAAGTGTGGATTGAGTTTTTAGGGTTCAATGGTAGTGGCGATGGCTTAGGGTTTACAGAGAAGGAAGGAGTAAATGAAGGGAGATACAGAAGATAGAGTGTAGAAGCGGGGTACTTCAAAAATTTATAATTTTAGAGGATTTCATTTTCCCCCTTTAAAAACACACATTTGTGTAAAAAATTATAAAATGACATTTGTAGAGGACATGCATTTAAGATAAGCACCCTCTATTTTTTTATTTTTTGTAGGACAGTAATTTTAGGGCACGCAAAAATGCGTGTCCTCTATCATTCAAATTTTAGAAAGCTGACATTATTTTTGGGACACAAAAAAATGCGTATCGTAAATAAGTGTGTGTCATTGTTTGCATGTCATCAAACGACTGTTTTCTTGTAGTGGAGGCTGAAGGTATTAGGTTTTGGTGATGAGATAAGGAGCTTAAATAGGGTCCAAGACCCTAAATTATGGTTTGCATGAAACTGGAGTACGCCCTGCGTACTCCCATTACACTTAGCATACATCTCCAAGTAGCTGCGATCATTCTCCCTAGTACGCCCCGCGTACTAGGGTTTGCCTTAAACCCTACCATCTTCCGAAGGCCATAACTCCTTTGTTATAAGTCTGCTTCCAACGATCCTTATATCCACAGAAAGGTGACGAGAAGCTCTACGCTTCTATCAACCCATACTTGCCTTAAAACTTCCCGAACTAAAATCCAATTTCCATAAAAGCCCGAACGTACGCTTTACCGATATACCCCTAGGCTTCGAAACACAAACCGAACTCCCAGATCATCTAAGTTACATTATGCACACCCAAATGGGTCCAGATCTCTTTTCCTCAAAGGTCCTAAGCCTGATGATACATGATCTTCGGGCCACCACCCTGCATTAGGAAACTATTCAGAATAGGGTGTTACATCCCCCACAAAAATATTTCTAGGTTTAATTTCACACCACACCCGCCTCTCACCTCTTAGGTGCTGTTTGTTTTTTGTAAAAAAAACCTGTTCTTACCACTTATTGTTGCGCGGCGCAACACACGCGCAACACTTTTAATTTCATAGCAGTTTATTTTTTTAAATGGCTTTGGGCTCAAAAACCTATGCCCGTCCTCTGCCCCATACAACATTGGCATTGCCTCTTCTCACCTCTTCTTAACCTAAACCTAAAAGAAAAAAAAGAACGGGATATAACATTGAAAACAAACATCGCTCATTCCATCTCCCATCGTTCTTCCTTTCCCATCGAGTCATCGCAGCAGCTCGTACGTCGCCGGTCGCCATGGCTGCTCCACCCTAGCCGATTTTATGTTCGCTGCTCAAACATGTATGTTTCTTCTTCTAATTCAGTTCTTGAAATCGACAGCTGCTGTTGAAATCAGTTCTTCTTTTCGGCAACATTTATATGTTTATGAAATCAGCTGTTTTTGTATGTTCTTGAAATCAATTGTTTTTCTGATTTTCTTGTTGAAATCATCAATATTGATATGTTTATGAATTCAAGTTTATGTTGATTTTCTGATTTTCTTGCAAGTTATGTTGATTTGATGCATGTCAATGAAAAGTCTGATTTTTGTTACGTTGATTTGCTTCCAACCAAGTATATGTTTTATTTCTTTGTTGAATTGGATGTCTAAAGAGTTGGATGGTTAGTATACATATAGCGGTAGTAATTTAAGAGGGAAACAAGTTGTGCACTATAGGTGCTCAATGAAATGCTTTAGAGAACATTGAAGTTTAATTTAATTGCATTTCGTTTGGTCTTGCACATCTCTAGTAACAAATGCAAATGGTTAAATGTTATATGCTTGTAATCAAAAGTATGCTGGTAAAAATGTGATGTATTTATGCTCTTTAAAATCGTACTTGTATTTGTGAAGCAGGTGAAGCAAAGACAAAGAGGAGTCAAGAGAATGTTTCTCAATGTGTTGAATCAAGTTTTTGTGAAGGATCTCCAAATCAAGAGCAATTTGAAGCAATTCATAAGGACACTATTTAGCTAAAACAATGTAATTTTAATGTTAATTCAATTACTTTGTAAATAGTATTTAATAGTATTATTGAATGTTTTTATAAAAAATGTAATGAATTTCATTTTAATGTTGCAAGACTAAAATTATTAAATTTTTTGATTTGAAAAACTATTATAATTTTGTAAAATTAATTTATTTAAATTTCAGTATATTGCAGCAGTCTGCAGAGGTTAAAAACAAACAGACTTCTTATTACAGCTTGCAGCCGTTTGGTCCACCTCTTCTACTGCAGAGGGTTGTAGAGGTGGTCCGCAGACTTCTTGAATTTTTTGCTTCGAAAAAACAAACAACACCTTATTCTTCGCACCCTCCTCATTCATCTGGGCTGTTCATTCTCCATCTTCCTACACAAACACATGGCTACCATCAATTTTCCATCACCAGTTCCACTAATTCAAGCCTCTATCACAAGTTTCCAAAAAGTTACCTAACATAATTTGAAAGAGAATTAGAGATTTTCCATCCTTCAATATCTTCCGCCTTCATTCTCACTAGTTGATTCTCTGTGGTCCATCTCTCCTCAACCACCTCCGACGACCAAGGTAATCGCTTCATTTCATCAGACGTGTTTGGAATTAGATTCAATCTATGGTTGCTTCACTGTTTGAAATTTGGTTAATGCTTATAGTTTATTTGTTTTAGCTCATCGGTGCCTTCTTCAAGCTCCTATGGTCCATCTCTTCTCCACCACGGGCGAGCTCCTCCATCACCGACGACCAAGGTTATTACTCCAATTCTTCAAATCTGTTTGGAATTTGACTCAAACCATGGCTGTTTGAGATATGTTTGATGCTTCTAGTTTATTTTTGATGCTTCAAGCCATTAGATTTTTCCATTTGAATATTTTCCATCATATTGTGTTTGATGCTTCTAGTTTATTGTTTGAAAACCATCATATTATTGCTTGATGCTTCACGACTAATTGTGTTTGATGCTTCCATTTGAAAATTTGTCATCAGGGTCTTGTTCGATGCTTTAAGACAAAAGATTGTCTTTGTCTTCGATGCTTAAAATGCTACAGATCGTTTATCTTTTCCTCCTTGTTTTATGGTTGTTTCAAAACCAACATAGAAACTAGTTTTACTAAAATGATATAATTAATCGATCGTTATCCTAATAGATGTTCTACAAAAGCAAATTCACTGCCCACAGGACGCCAAGAGACTAAAGTGATCAACTTTTGACTAATTCCGTAAATAAAACTTGTGACTGGTTTGCTTTCAATCTTCTCAATTTGTTTTCTTTTATACTTTTATTTTTGAAGATGTAAAGAGACTTTATTTAGACTTTTCTCCAAAGAGATCCCAAGTGATATCCCTGGAGAGGCTTTGATGGATTTGAAGTTGCAGCAAAGTTTTAGTGTGCAATTAACTTTAAAGTATCAACAGAAGACATTTCCATGGTGAGATGTGTTTCAGAGTTTCTTGAAATGTCAGTTGGAAATCTTGTAATAAGATCTGAAGCTTATTCAAATGAAGTAGGACTTAAAACGTTGCGTGGGGTTGTTTCCATTTTGTTGAAACATAAATATTGTCTTAAATATTGATGTTTGTTTAGTTTGCTTATTATTTAATGCGTAAACATAAAAATACAAGGAGATTGTGGATTTTTAGTTTGGATTTGTTTTAGAATTGGTTAATGCATTGGTTTTTTCTGCATTTTGGGTTTATATAATTAATTATTGAAAAATTATTTTAAAAAAAAATAGTAAAAAGACTGGACTAAATATTAAGGAACTGGGCTATAAAATAAAAGAAGAACGACCTTGTGTTTTGTAATAGAATTCGGTTGGGCATCAGGATTTGCCTAATCTTCTTAGACTAATAAAAGAATAGTTTTAATCTCATTTTGTCATGTCTCACTCTAATACACATCCTAATTAATATAATGTCATGTGTTACTTTATTGTTTCTTAATTTTAAATTTTCCCCAATAAATCAGTAATAAATGTAGCTCAAAAAATCAGGATATAATCCCATAAAATCAGTATTCTGTTTTCAAAATGCTATAAATAACCAACTATTGAAAACCTAATTAAGTTAGATACTTTAAATGATTAGATGTATACATTATGTAAAAAAATATATATATTTGTTTGCATAATTAATGATTGTTATTTTTATAGTCTGTATGTTGTTTTATTAATGTAAAAAAATATATATATTTGTTTGCATAATTAATGATTGTTTTATTAAAAAAATATATCAACCAACCATGTAGTACACGGGTTATCACCTAGTAATGTATATTTTGGGGTCATTTGTCTGATCAGTTGATGCTCTCGTTCTGTATCATTGTGTACACACAATTACGGTTTACCGGTTTTACTTTGTTGTGTTAGATTCTTCCAGTTTTGTAGATAATAGAAACATTTATGAGGGATAGAGTGTTGTTTGTAGGGAGTTTTCTGATGTAAAAGATTTATATGTTCAATATATGAGTTTATGTTTTTCTATCAACATACACCTGCACCCAAATAAAAGTTCAATAGTAATGTCCTTTTAGGACAACAATAAAAATAAATATCCAAAAAGAGGGTATATAGATAGTTAGATCCTATTCCTAAAGATGCTCAATGGTGCTCTGTGTTTTGCCTAAATTTTTCACTAATATTGTCCACAAATCTGCTATATTTACCAAACACAGTCGATCTGGCCCCATATTGCTCAAGAAAAATAAGGTTCTGGTTCTTGATGACGTCACTGGAGTCTGCATTAGTTAATACAATAATATCAATAACAACATTAAGAAAAGGCTTAAAGAGAAAGAAATCATTTGTATATTTAAAAATTTTTGTCATGTGGAACCTTTAGCATGCAGTTGTTCTTATGAGTTCTATGTATAAAAACTTCGATTTTGATAATCTTTATTTTACCCATGATCTGCAGGTTGGACCGATTAATATGACTCGGCTACAAAACTCTTTAAAGAGAAAGAAATCATTTGTATATTTAAAGATGGCTGCATAGTTCTAAATGAGATCAATGTCTAGTACTTGTAGTGACATCATCGTTTCATTTTATAGTTTCATCCCCTGTTCCAACTTCAAAATTTTTGCCCAAACTTGAATTTCGGAAAATCATTCTCTTATAACTTCTTATTATGGAAACATGTTTTATTGCTTCTGCTAATGCTATTAAACACAATATGTTCTTTAATAGAACTTCATGAAAAACTCCCTAAATTTGATAAAAGTCGATTGCTTGATTCCAAAGTCAAATATATTCATGTTCATTGATGTCCTCCTAATTTGGAACATATTTATGCAAACAAAAACTTGTCAACTATCTTAAATCATTTATAAAGCTTCCATGATTATCTATAAAATGATCAGATCCACCTTGTATCAAGATCCCACCATTTTCATCAAGAATTCAGTGTGACTTTTTAAAGAAGTCAATAGTGTTGGACTCTTTAAATTAACTTTTGATTTTTGGAAGAAAAATTAATTATTGTCATATCAATTTCAAAATTCATTAGTTGATCAATAGGAATTAAAGCAAGTACCTGCTATAATAATTATTTGTGAATTGGCTTTTCTGGGCAATTGTGTTATTCACTCGACCAATCACTTGACCAATCGATACGCAGACCTTTCAACAAATGAATGCTCTGTGGAAGATGACTTATGGATGTACCTTCTATATTTAACACTCTTAGCGATTTCAAATTACAAATGCTGTTGGGGATATCTCGTAAAAGATTACAGTTCTCTAGGATTAGCTCCTCTAAACATTCTAATTGGCCAAGATCCTCAGGTAATTGCTTAAGATGCCAACAAGATATAAGTGTGAGAACTTTTATTTGTTTCAACATACAAATGCTATCCGGAAGATGTTTAATCTTTGTAGATGACAGAGTTAACTTCTCTAAGCATTCCAATAGGCCAAGATCCTCAGGTAATTTCTCGAGACACTCACAATACCAAAGTTCAAGTGATTTCATTTGTTTCAACATACAAATGCTGTCCGGAAGATGTTTAATCCTTGTAGATGATAAATCTAGTTCCTCTACACATTCTAATCGGCCAAGATCCTCAGGTAACTTCCTCAGACACTTACATGATATAAGTTTGAGAGACTTCAAATGTTTCAACATACAAATACTATCCGGAAGAAGTGTAATATTTGTATATGATAAATCTAGTTCCTCCAAACATTCTATCTGACCAAGATCCTCTGGTAACTTCTCCAGCCGCTCACAAGATATAAGTTTGAGTGATTTCAGATTTTTCAACATATAACTGCTGTCTGGAAGATGTTCAATATATGTTGATGTCAGATCTAGCTTCTCTAAACATTGCAATTGGCCAAAATCGTCAGGTAACTTCTCAAGTAAAGAACAATGATAAAGCCCTAGAGATTCCAGGTGTGTTAGCATACAAATGCTATCTGGAAGATGTTTAATCATTGTTTCTGACAAATTTAGCTTTTTTAAACCTCCTAACAGGCCCATGTCCTCCGGTAACTTCTTAAGCAACAAGCAATGATTAAGGTTAAGTGTGTTCAGATGTTTCAACATACAAAAGCTATCCGGAAGATGTTTAATTTGTGTATATGACAAATCTAGTTTCTCTAAACATTTTGATCTGCCAAGATCCTCGGGTAACTTCTCAAACACCCGACAATGATTAAGATCTAACTTTTTCAGATTCTGAGTCAGCCTAAGGTCAAGGGTCCTCAACTTTGAATAACTAATGTCGAGGGATACGAGCTTTTGACATTCATTCACCATGTGAAGTTCTTCCAAATGATAACAATTCAGAAGATCTAAATACTCAAGATTATGTGTCTTCCCAATGCCAAGGGTCCTTAACTTTGTATTACTGAGTGTGAGGGATCTAAGATTCAGACATCTATCCGGCAAGTGAAGTTCTGCCAAATTGTCACATTCCCCAAGATCCAACGTATTAAGATTTGGAGACAACCGGAGGTCAAGGGTCCTCAACTTTGAGTTAGTGCAGTTGAGGTCTCTAAGCTTTGGACATCCATCTGCCATGTGAAGCTGTACCAGTTCACGACATTCACTAAGATTTAACAGCTCGAGATTCGGAGCTGATCCAAGAGCAAGGATCCTCAACTTTGACCAACTCACATCAACGGATATGAGCTTTAAACATCCATCAAGCATGTGAAGTTCTACTAAATCACGGCATTCTCTAAGAGTCAGTGTCTCCAGATTCGGAGTAAGCCCAAGGTCAAGGGTCACCAATGTTGAGCCACTAAGATTAAGGAATCTGAGCTTGTTAAGAACCTAACACGATCAGAAAAGCAACATGAAGATTGGTGTAATAACAAAGAAATGGATGTATAAATGTATGTGTGTGTATATATATATATATATATATATATATATATATATATATATATATATATATAAAAGTAAGTTCAAATAGTAAAAACACTATGTTTATGTTATTATTCTGCAATGAATATTTTATTCAAATGTGAATATTAATGTTTCATTATTCATATATTCATTAGAATGTTATTATTCTATTATAAATTTGGTGTATGTGCATTATTGTAGTAAATTCTAATATTAGTTTTAAAATGTGATTCACTACTACAAAAAAGCTTATAGGACCTGGTTATTGGTGTATGTGCATTATTGTAGTAAATTCTAATATTAGTTTTAAAATGTGATTCACTACTACAAAAAAGCTTATAGGACCTGGTTATTTCAATTAAAAAACCCGGTTTTGAACCGGGTCCTAAAGCCAGCGATACCTATGGGTCATATACTTATACGACTAAAAGTCCCGGTTGTTATGCTGGGAACCGGTTTCCTTAAGTGAGCATATATCCCGGTTTGTTAGAATGAACCGGGTCATATTGGTTGTTCCCTTTTAGGTCCCGGTTTTTTAATAATATATCCCGATTTTTCTAGAAACCGGGTCCTAATTGGCGAGTCCTATAACGCCTTTTGTAGTAGTGATTATTAATCTATCTTCTATCTACTCTAATAAATGAAGGTTATTTTTGCCACTTGTCACACTCTTATTTAATTTGTCAAATGTTATTTTGTGGTTATTTTGAATTAATTTTTTTTTTCACATGTTATTTTATAAGTTTTTCTATATACTTTTAAATTCCACAAAATATTTTAATATAATAATTGCAATAAATATAGTAATAAATGTATATCAATGTCATTGATGAACTTATCTTTTAATTTCAAATTTTTTAAAATTAAAGCTCATTAGTTTCATTTAATTATTTAAATAATTTGTTTAAATTTAAAAGATAAAAAACATTTTCATTATAAAAATTCATTATTTTTCTTATTTTCTTATAAATTCAAAGTTCACACACACACACACACATTTAATTTCTTAAAATTAAAGCTCATTAGTTTCATTTAATTATTTAAAAAATTTGTTTAAATTTAAAAGATAAAAAACATTTTCATTATAAAAATTCATTATTTTTCTTATTTTCTTATAAATTCAAAGTTCACACAACACACAACACACAACACACACACACACACACACACACATATATATATATATATATATATATATATATATATATATATATATATATATATATATATATAGAGAGAGAGAGAGAGAGAGAGAAAGAGAGAGAGAGAGATCTTGAGATTCAACCTCAGCCACATATTTCTCTTTTGCCGCTCTAATGCTCCAACATACCGACAGTAGCGAGGTACGCCTAATCATACTATGGCAGAGAGGTATAATCATATATGATTATACATGTTTTTACGTATATGCCTAATCATAAAATGATTATACATATATGTATGTTCACAGATTGAATAATCATATATGATTATGATAGTTGGAGGTAAAAGAGGTGGTGGTGGTGGCAGAGGTGGTGGTGGTATAAGTGACGGAGGTGGCATTGATGGGGTCAGCGGGTGTCAGAGGTGATGGTAGTGGTGGTGGCGGTGGCGATTGTGGTGGTGGGGATGGTGGCGGAGGAGAAAGGAACGGGCAACGCTATATAATTATTTATGATTATAACAGGTCTGACGCGCCAGTATGCCAGAGGGTTAAAGCGTCAGCTGTGAAATATGTGGCTAAGGTTGAATCTCAAGATCGCTATTTTTTTAATCTCAACGGAGCCTATATATATATATATATATATATATATATATATATATATATATATATCATTACAAGGATTCATGCAAAACAATCGATCAACAATAATTTTACCTTTCTTTCTCCCCCTTCCCAAAGTCGTACAATCCTGCTGTCATCCATCTCTAGTTTAACAAGGTTATTTGCTTGAAATGTTTTGGGTAAAGAACTAAAAGGGTAACAATACCAGTGCACATATTGTAAAGCATTGGGAAAGTATGGGTTGACTTGTGTCAATAATTTAATTTTGCTTGAATCAATAAATCCCAGAGACATGTGAAGAAACCTAAGTTCCTTCATTTTTCTTAGACCTTTAACAACAATTTCAGGATTGACTTTCCAAGTGTAGAATTGTATGCATGTTGTTGCTTCAGTGCCCTATAATCCAAAGAAATGACAAGGAAACTTAGTTAACTAATGAAAATATGTTAGTTTCGTTATCCTACAAATACACTTGATACTTACCAAATCGTTAGCGAGTATATCTTCAATTTCCTTGTTAAGCCACAATCGGGTATGTTTGTTAGGCTTATTGGCATGCGAACGACGAACAATATTCCTTCCCATTTCTGCAATATGATCATGCATGCCCAAACACTCATCATCATCAATAGTTATGAGAGATTTTTGCTCAAGAACTCGTAATCCATGTCTAGCATAAAATCCACAACTTTCAAGAGCTTCAATTGCTTTGTCTTTCAACCAACCTTTTAGTATGCAGGCAACGTCTAGAAATATTTCCTTGTAATCATCCTCTAGATCTACAAAGCTTAATTCCAATTTTTTCAGAGTTTCCGTTAATGGAATTGCTTTAAGTCTTTCTAGTGCATCTTTCCATTCAAGCTCACTTTTACCACAAAGAAATGAACCCAAAATTCTTATGGTTAAGGGAAGACCAGAAGCATAACTTACGAGTTGTCGTGATAGCACTTCGTACCCTTGAAGTGGAATTTCTCTACCAAATGCATACGTACTTAAGAGCCAAATAGCTTCCTTACCCGATAACAGATTGATATTATGGATCAACTTCACTCCGTGTGCTATGAGTACTTGTTCATCTCTTGTTGTAATGATAATTATACTACCCGGCGTAAACCAATTAGCCTCACCGGCTAAAGCCTCAAGTTGTTGTATGTGATCCACATCATCTAGAACAACAAGAACCTTTCTACCACGCAGCATCCTCTTCATCATGTTTTTCCCATCATAAACATTAGTTACGCTTACTCCTTGATCATTTAAGACATCTGAAAGGACTTGATTTTGCAACGACTTCAAACCAGACAAAGAAGCATTTGAAACTTCCCTGACATTCTCAACAAAACTTTTACCTTCAAACTGAAAGGATATTTGATCAAAGACAGCTCGGGCCAATGTTGTCTTTCCACCACCTCCAATCCCCTTAATCCCGATCATGTGAACATCATCAAGACCAGTTCCTAATGATGAAAGAACATCCTTAATCCGGGTCTCCATGCCTATTAATTTTTCATTAATGCTGAAATTGATGGAACGTAATTCTAGGGAAACCTCTTCAACAATTTTTTGGATGAATTTAGCTTCATGCCTGTATTTTATAGAGATTTCAGTTAGCTTGCTCAAACTCCCACATCAGCAATTACATTCAGTTCTGTAACATAAAACCGAGTATGCGAAGTAATAACATAGTTGGTTAATCTTTCGACAAGAGTCAATTTTGAGTAAGAAGTTTACAAGATGCCATGGATGACCAACATACACCTAGATTAGAAAAAAACAATAAGATGCAAGATTATTGTAGAGCTACGATGAGAGAATTTACCCATCAACAGTATTCTTCAATTCCCAACCAGCCAAACCTGATGCGTCTTCCAGAGCCTCTATCCACTTCTCAGCACCCTCTTCAGTTTCATGTTTGGCAAAGGCTTTTCCAACTGCCCCATTTTGGTTGCGGACCTCTGTGGGTTCGACATCATAGAAGACAGGGTAAGCCATATGTTCGGTCGTCTTGTGACACTCCATTATCTTCACAAGCTCATCCAAGCACCAAGAGGAAGAGGCATAGTTCTTGGAGAAAACAATTATATAGAATTTTGAGTCTTCGATGGATTCGATGAGTTCATCACTGATCTTTTTCCCTTTCTTGATCCTCTCGTCGTCCTTGTAAGTGTGAATGCCTTTATGCTGAAGAGCATAATAAAGATGGTCAATGAAATTCGCACGAGTGTCTTCTCCTCTGAAACTCAGAAATACGTCATACTTAAAGATCTTGTGAACGGATGAAATGGAAGAAGACGCCATTGATGGTGCGCTTGAAGGATCCTATAACAGCAAATATTTGTTGGGAGAAATTTAGAACAAAACTGAGATGGGATGAATAGCCTCGAGTGTTTATCAAGAAAAGTCAATGGTAGTAGCTGCTAATGTGACGTGGGTGTGATTTGTTCGTATTAATTAATTTGTTTGGAAAAGCTTTGTGGTTTGGTGGAGGAAGAAAAGTCGCTACTTGTTTCTATATTTATTTCTTTCTATGATCTTATTCGTATATATAAATATAAATATAAATATTTCTTCGGACTAATTCTTATAACTCATAGATTAATATCTTTCAGACCTAATTTATAGATTAAAATATTTCTTGGGACTAATTCAATGTGATATATTATTAATGGGTATTGATTTTTCCGGCTTTTACTTTTCCACGGAAAAATTAATATAATGACAAATATGCCCTTTATTTAAAGAAAATGATATTGAAGAGAGAAATATCCATGAAATATTGTTTCCAAATTACAAGATCGTGGTTTTGTCATTTTGTGATGCAATCTCCAGCAGCGCATCTTTTTCCTTCGCTGCTGCAAGCTTCAAATGGAGGTGAGCTTGAATTTCAAAGTGGTTTCATTGGTGAATTATGTTCGGTTAATCTTGGTTGTTTTTAATATAAACTTAGAGCAAAAGAATTGGTCATAGTTTGACGCAGTTTGGTGTAGAATAAGGGGTTAGTGACAGCAGTCTAGTAAGAGTATGTGGGTTTATTTGTTGCATTTTATTTTCAGCATAGTAGGACTAGTTTAAGATTCAAATAGATAACTAAAAACTCACATAATTGTCCCATACCTCTGTTCTTTATTTTTTTCATGTATAGTTCATGTGCTTTTTATCATGTGCAGATCTATATCCAACAAATTCTGCACAGTGATTTTGGTAAAATCATCTTTGTGCCTAATAGTTTTTTTTGAACTGGCAAAAAATTTATAAACTTTGCAAATTAGAAAGGCACTAGGAAGACAAAAAAAAAAGCACCAACTCTTTACAATTAATGGAAAGGAGAGATACACCGACTATTCCATCTCTCCTTCCCCCCACCCCTACCCTATGTTTAAGCCATGCGAGCACCAAAGATACAACATTATCAAATATGAATGCACAGGTGAAGATCTTTTCCTGTTAAGAATTAAGTCGTTTCTTGCCTTCTATATCCATTGGCTAAGAGTAATGTTGGTGATTTTAGTGTCACCATGTCATTTTAAGTAACTGGAACTAACATGTGAGCTAAGGGGCTTCATAATTTGTATTCTATTATATGTACGGGGTTGTGCGGAGTGCACGCATGTATAAGATCGAATTAGAAGCCGGTTCGACGACTAGTCGGGGGTCCGGGGGCAGCGCCCCCGGGTCCAGTGTTTCCAAAGGGGCAGCGCCCCTAGCGGGGTCCAAGGGGCAGAACCCCTGGCAACTAATGAAACTCGATAGTTTTGGTAACCCTAAATCCTCATTAAATCCGGATTAATATTACTTGCTTCCAAAGCAACTAATGACGGCCCAACCTAATGAAACCCTAATATCGTTTATTATATAAATGGCTATTCTTTTCAGAAAATGGTAACGATCTTAAGCTCTCATTTTTCATCACACTTTCACAGAATCCTCTAGCATTTTGGCTTACGATTTATGTGCCTAGAATCGTAAGTGTCCACTTGGATTATCCTAAGTTGAATTTCTTGTAACCCAGACATAGGGTAGAAATATCAGTTCGGAAAGTGATATCACGATCCAAGTCGGTATCCAGATCTCCACCACAAACCCTAATTTTCCCAACAAGTAATCAATTGAAACAGTTTCACCCAAACCTGTGATGTCGATTGTTATTGGAGTTTCCAGTCTTCAACATTACAATGTAAGGTGACTTGCACCATTTTTTTTCAAGACTAAGTTTATGACTACTAAGCTCTTGCTGCAGACAAATTAAAGAATCAGAGAATTGACAATTCATACAATAAAAAAATTTCACAATTCATACTCATGTTCTGAGAATCATAGAGTCATACGCACACACAAAGAATCAATATGTTCAATCGATCAAAACTTTAAACTTGACAATTCATTCGCATAGCAATGACAGGTGCTTGAGAATCAGAGATTGAAAATTCATACACATACACATGGTTTAAACATAATTAGATAATGATGATCACTTACCTTTTGAGAGTGAGATGAAGAATCTGCGCTGATGAGAAAGCAAGATCGAATAAGGAATGAGCGTCGTTAGCCCTGGAATCTTTTTCCCTGTAATATCTAAAAACTTTAATAGAAGGGTATAATGGGCAATTCAAATAAATCTCAGTGGATGGATTAAAATTTACAATTTACAGTGGAAATATCAGTTCCCATTATTAATATATCTATAAAATGAACATGAACTTTTTTTTTCTTTTTTTGGCTAATAACTGCTAAAAAGCATAATATAGTGGTTTCTTGAAAGTTTTTCAATTTGTGTTTCGATATTATTTGTTGTTGGACGACATTCGTTTGATGTTATTTTTGGAATGTGCATATATGCACATTTATGTGCATACATTCATGTACAATGAAAAATATTCACATACGCAAATTCCAAAATTAATGGAGTACATTTTTTTTGCGAGTTTTTTTTCCACATAAATGTTCTATATGCTTGCAACATATACAGTGATGTTTTGATTAAAATTTTCCACATAAATGTTCAAAATTGCACGTTTGGTCCCTAACTTTTTTTTTTGTACCAGGATCGTCCCTGTGGTTTGATTTTGTTGCGTTTTTCGTCCTTATGGTTTGGTCAAAATTGCACGTTTGGTCCCTAACTTTATGTATGTAAGGGACGAAAAACGCAACAAAATCAAACCACACGGACGACAATCCGAGTGCAAAAAAAAAGTTAAGGACCAAACGTGCAATTTTGACCAAACTATAGGAACGATTTCAGTAATTTACTCTAGATTTTTTTATTGGAAAAAATAAGTTCTCAAATTTTGAAGTTTCATTTTATCTTCGCCTTATGTATGTAATTGTATATTACAATTTGGAAAAATGACTAAGGAGGGTAATCAATTGTTGATTTTGTTCATATTTTTTTTGTACGTAATATAGGGATGAGCAGTTTGTCCCAAATCCCGATCCCGTACCGGAACCGGTACCGAACCGTACCGAATTTGAAAATATGGGACGGTACTCGGTACTCCAAATACATGAAATTCGGGATTCGGTACCACCGGTACCGGTACTAGTACCGAAAACCGGTACCATTCCCAGTACCGGTACCGGCGATGTTAATTCGGTTCGGTACTCGGGATTGACTTTCAATAAAATTCAGTTTTCGGGAAATCGGGAACGGTACGGGTCGGTACCGGTTCCGTCCCACGCTCATCCCTAACGTAATATATGATTGAACTTGTTGTTTGTGTTCACGATCTGTCAAAAAAGTTAAGGTGAATACAAACAACAGGGGCGGACGCAGGATTTCACAGTAGGGGTTGTACGGAAAAGTTAAGGGTTGCATGATAGTAGAAAAATAAAAAATTTTAAAAATTTCGAAAAATTTTCGACTGCAGCCGGAAAAGTCAGGGGTTGTCGGTGCCACTGGTGACCCCCCCCCCCCCCTAAATCCGCCCCTGACAAACAACAAGTTTGACGGTATATTGCGTTCAAACATAGAAAATGACAAAATGTAAACAAAATCAACAGTTGGTTATCCTTCTAAATTATTTTCCTTATTTTCCTAAAAGCAAAGTTTCATTTTATTTTCTAAAGAAAACATTTGTTTATAGTAAATCAAACCCAACTTTATACATTTTACTCATTGTCCCTTGGGCGGATCTATAGCATGATAAGGGTATGCAATTGCATACCCTTAATTTTCTTCTATATAAGAGTTAATTATTCAAAATAAAAAGTTATTATTATTATTATATATATATATATATATATATATATATATATATATATATATATATATATATATATATATATATATATATAAGCCCCTTTATGAACAGTTATGAACAGTTTTGTGTTCGTATTGGTTGTTTTTTTTTCGTAATTGATCAGAGAACCCGATTATACACGTATTTTGATTTGGATCTTCTTGATGTTCATCCACTATTGTTTCTTTCATAATTTCTCATCTTCGTTAAAGAGAGTGTTTTCCACGTGTTTTCATCGGCATAGCCACCGTATAGATTTTTTTTTCCTTCGTGTTCTTCGCTTTTCTCCAAGTAATTCATTACCTTTTTCCCTTTCTTTTTTCTATTTTCCCTATAAACTTCTGCTTTGCAATCTCAATTTGCCTTGTTTGTTTGTTTTTTTCTTTGCCGTTATTTGTTGATATTTTCCATTATGCCTAAATGCCCTAAACTGAAGCTCCCTTAATCTGCTTCATCTTCGTCTGCATTTGCTGATAGCTTCCTTCGAAAGTCTCAACGTCGACAACAATTTTATGCTCCTGCCCTGCCTCTTTTGTATGATTGTGGGGACTGTATATGTGTGTGCGAGTTTTTGTGGGGGCATTTTTTTGGTATGTTAAAAGAAATATAGCTCAATCTATTGCTAATCGCCCAACATACACCTAATGTTGTAAGTCTGGTTCTATTATTCTTCCTTACCCTCTTCCCCCACCTCCTAAAATTCGCAATTTGTATATGAATGGTCATTTTATGGTTAATAATAGGGCATATAACATCATGTTTACAATGACTTCTTTTAGAGATAATGTTGGTGAGGAGATTAACAAGGATCGTAACCCATATGTGTTTAGGATAGCTTGTTAAATTTTCCATTGGATAGGTTCTATTTATTACCGCCTTTATGGTCAAAAAAACAAAGCAGGTTGTAGGGTTCAAAAAATCACCCAATAATTCCCCCCTTCATGTCGTCTTTCTTTCGATCGATCACATCTTCCTTTCGATTTCCAACTTCAAATAGCTAATGCACGTCTATTCCTCGAAATCCTTTTTCCCGCTTCCGCCTCTGTCCTTCGTTGTTGTTTCAGGTTTGTCTTTCGTTCTTTTTCTAGGGTTTATATATTGTTTCTCCATCTGCTTCATTTTTGC